TGAAAGACTAAGTAAGTATGATACTGCTTACTACTCAGTGATCCATCGATTGTAAATTCAATCACTGGGCTAATTATCACTATATATACTATATTCAAGTTTACAAACTAGACATGATCAAATTTTCGATATTTACTAGCAATGGAAATATCAAATAAAAAAAAATTGTTTACTAGGTCAATTGTGTTGTATAATACTAAACACTTAAACTTGTCAACATTTTATTATTTATAAGAACCAATCTATGTATACACCTTTTATGTTGAAAAAGAATAAAAGTTGTATTGTTTGACCTGGTAGCGTAAAAAAAAACATACTAACAATCGAATTAAAAGTTTTTTTTCAAAACAATTTTATTTGAAATTAATATGTAGTAGACAAAATTTTTAATTAAAATCAAGGCTAACCGTACACACATAGAATATTGGTGAGTGGCCACCTATGCTCCTCCATGTGGAGTAACAGGCGTAAGTAAGTAAGTGGACATGCATAGTTAAAATTGATTACAAATGAAACGTGAGACGAAGAATTACATTTATTTATTACAAAATGTTTGGTTGTTCAAATAAAAACTCAGTGTTGTTCTTTTTCTAGGTAGGTTTGGAATGATACTCTATTTAATACAACTTTATTATTTTTCAAGAGATTAACAAGAAATATAGCAGTCTCTCACCAAAGCGCTTAGGTTTCAAATTGCGTTCACATTATTATTATTATTACTTTAATTATTATCCTTGTCTCCTCTTACCTTCCATTTCTAGTCTAGGTGACCATTTATTCTTTTATACATATAAATGTTCATAACAAGTAATTTATGATCAGATTGTTCGAAAAGTATTGCGCTAATATATTATCGCTTAGTTCTGATAATCTTTGTCTTCTTATTTCATTATCGAAATTGTTTTTTATTTGTGAGGAATTTGTTAAAAAATTTGAGTGTGGTATTTCTACTATGTCCTGGTATGGCCGAGATTGGGGTGGGTCCGCCCTCCCTCTCGAAATACTCTCACACGACCACGCGTATACAGCCTCTGCCAGGGAAGTCCTACTCACTGCCTTCTCGTGGCAGGGGTGTTGTTTACGAAATTGAGAGGACGAAAAGCGAATGTCCGATGCTTTAACCGGATCCCAAACCAATGGTGCACATAGCGTATGAACCAATCGTTGGTCACCGGCTACAATGGGACTGCATCTGCTCACGATGCTCCACTGCCTTGTGGGTTAGACCTTCAGGTCAAAGGCTCGGGGTGTGGCCTCCTAAGAAGGCCACCTGCTTCGGTTTGGGCATCCGGACAGTATCACAGCCCATACACAAATATAATGAAAATAATGAAAATGTGGTATTTCTACTATATAAGAGAGAAAGATATTTCAATAATCTAAGCTATATATTTTCATTAAATAAAATGAAGACTATTTAGTTTGTTTAACGTTATGAAATCCAATCTATGGAATTTATGGATTTACAAAACTGTAATATAGCAAATAGAAAACTGTACTAAAAAACGTTGTAAATTGATATATGCGTTCAGTAAAGTTATACTTCTTTTTATCCAAAATAGTGGGTATTACAAAGAAACAATAGAAATTACTTAACTTTCATGTAATTACTTCGTTTGGTGACAAATATCAATGAATTTTTAATTAATCTCAATAAAACAAAAATAGAAATCGTATGCACTGGGGTAGATACCTGTCTCTACTTGACACGGATTAGATTCACTGGTCACGGCTTCTCACTAGAACTTCGAGAATTCCCTCACGAAGCTGTTCACTAGTAAGCACATGGTAATTATCAGTATGGAGTTGTGGAGATTATTAAGCTTTTGGCTGAGATCATGAAGCGTTCGCGCGCAAGACCGAAAACCCTGGATTCAAATACCGCGAGCGGGATCGTGAATGCGCACTGCTTAGGAGTCCCACAATAGGACGAAACGGCCATCCAATGCTTCCACGTCTTCAATGGTACTCTGACATCAATCGATTCATGATCGAAATCAAAAACTTAATAATCTCCACAACCCCATACTGGGAAATCGTATGTTTCGCGTAATAATATTTTTTGTGACCTGTTAAAATGAGTGAGCATTCAAGAGCTACGGGTTATGGTATTGAGGATTTTTGTTTAACTGACTAGAAAGGTTATGAATGGTATGTGTTACTGATTAAATACGACAAAAATGGACTCCTACCATCTATCTACTCATTTCTTTTCTACCAATGAATATCCAGTTTTTACTAACCAATGACAATAAAATGTAACAGAAAACTCTAAGTCATTGATCATAAAGAAAAGAATTATCATAATTCTGTTCATTAAGGAAATGTCTATGGAATAGCCAATGGTCAGATAATTTTTCTACCCGTTAAATCTCGTTATTTTTTAGAAAAAATTATAATTAGAGTCTGGATGAAATCTAGACAAACAGATATACACACAGATCGGTTTTTGCTGTTTAAGTTTTAGATTTTGGTAAACTTTTGATGAATTAATTATGTAACAGAGTACGGATCAGTTGGTAGGAGTTATACATAGTCATAGTCCTAAATATAGTCATAAATTCTATAACTAGGACGAGATAGGTTTATGCATTTGTCTTCCAATACCATTGGTGGGTATCCGCTTCATGCATGACATAGTTGAACTCCATCGGCCACAACCGTGAGAACTGAATGCACTGGGTTTCGTCACTGGTGGGATTGTGGATAAGTGATCTCGAGGAGTCCGGTAGTAGGACGATAAAGCAGTTTAGTACATTTTAGCTTTTATTAATAGCGAAAGTAAGGTTAGTCGGTGACTTCAATGGACTTTGCAAACCACTCATAATACGATTTGAATAGATTAACACACCTATCATTTGTTAACGTTTTCTGAAATAGGAGATAGAAAATGTCTGTTCATGATAAAAAGTCCAGCTGAGTAAATCTTTAAAACTTTCTTAACTAAATGACTAAGGTTTAGTTACTATTCAATAGCTTTGAGGTGGGTTTCTTAAAATTCTACAGGACAGCCACGAACAGTAAAGTCAACCGTTTCAACAGTGAAGTTGATAACCACCGAGTGACGACACTGGATGATGATTGCGCTGTTTTGTGAACCAAGTGCAATCGAAAACACAGGTAGCTGGATTAAGGTCTAAAGTAATAGTAGAATATGAACTTTCCGGATTCGATCTTGTTAAGGAGTCTAAGAGTGAAACGAAACGGTCAACCAATGGTTTTGTTGTTTTCAACCGATTTTCAGCTGATATCATTTTATAAAAAATGCCATCACATTTAAGATAGAAGGTTCGAAATGACATTTAACTTGTAACTGATAGGAACAAAGAGAATGGATCGAAGTAATCTGTGTCGACTAACATTTTCAGTCATTGATTACGGATATTGTGCGAGATCCAACTAAGAAGTCGACTCCCACCAATATCGATGCTATGTTTGAACACGACTGACTCTAAGCTTTTTACCGACCTAATTTCAGATTAACCAGAAGTAGATGTCTGGAAAGGTGGTGATTAAATATAACCGACTGATGTGGTAGGCAAAACAATGGATGAAACTTTGTATCCCCATTACCACTGAAATATCATTATTTATACTCAGAAAATAACTAAAATTCAGGATTTTTATTGTAAATTTCAGATAGTGGTGATAAAGGTGACAAGACTTTACTGTTAAAAGTAACCATATGCTAAAATTTCTGAAAGTAGTCGCAACTTTTACTCATGGTGAAAATAAAATTATTTGAGTAGACAGCTTAAAGATGTATATTTCAAATAACGCAGGACAAACTCAACATGTTTTATACATTAAAGAAACGCATTATTATGCCCAACTTTCATTGCATCAAGGCTTTAAATCTAATCACTTCCCTGTCATTCCAGAATAACTCCAAGTTACTAAACTTGACCCTGGAAACTATGGGTATTTCATTTTGTTTGACGTCAGTTCGTCACATTTATCATTAATTGTATAAATACAGAAAATTTACACATGGTATTCAAATTTAATTAAACTGTTTAAATTTCTTCACATAGTTGCAAGCATGAAATAAAACAAATATGTTTCTATTACTTATATATCTCTAATATAAGTTAGACAACTACTGTAGTGAAAAGAGTATACAAAGTTGAGTTTATAAGTATGTTTGGAACTTCGAAAATCTATCCTAGGCATTTCAGGCATTCTAGTGTTAGATAATACCGTAAGTCAAGGAGCACTCGAACATCACTCTCAATACTACTTTGCAAAGTAAAAATTTAGCATTGTTTTTTAAACACCATTAATATATCAATTTATTGTAGGAAGTCTTTTTATCGATCATACTGTAGTAACAATTTATAGACTTTAGTTCTTGGTGCTGATTGACGTCTGCCAAACAAATTCGTTGAACCAACGTCATAAAGATACACGTACATTAGTTCTTAGATTATTAGGTGATATCACCAAGAAAAGATAGACAAAGACAATCAATTAATTCCATAGAATACTAATATAACCCATGGAACAGATATACCTGGTTAATTACGTTAATATGAATAAGTATAAATAATGGAACCTAAATTTCTTTTGAAGTTTGATTAGGTGATACCTATAGAACAACTCGACATGATCTACTATTGACAGATCAGAAATCTACCATAATGCTAACCCAATTATATAGAACAGCACGAAGAAAAACCGCAATTACTATTCAAATGAACAAGTATATTTTGACTGGGCGGTAATCAACTACAAACTATCACGTTCAAATCCTAAGTGGTGTATGCTTTCAAATACGTATTTTAAGTTAAGTCAGTATATTAGAAATAAAAGGATCAGAATAGGATGTCGAAAATTTATTTAATCGGCTTTTATCACATTAGAAACGTTAGATTAAACATCTATTCTGTAATCTAAAATCCTCCCACAGTTAATAATGTGTAAAATAGACGGAGTGATTTTCAGCAAGCACTCATGACAAACACTGATAGATTTGCTTAAAAACGATTAATAAAACTTACGTTAATGAAATAGGTGCGTCACCACTACGATTAGTATAATTTACAACGGCATTGAATGTTTGGTTAAACCATTGCCAAAATATGACAGCCGGTGTAGACCTAAATGCAGTAATAATAAGATAGATAAATAAACCCATTACATTCTACAGCTGACAGACCGAAAACTTTTTAAGAGATTTGTCAGCTTTTTTCATTGGGTGGATTGATAAAACTAACTGGTATGAAGTTCTGCAGACATAAAACAAACAGTATTGTAGGACATTTCAACTGTTTCAATTTACAAGTATAGGGTCGTAGAGATCGTTTAGTTTCACGGAAACCATGAATCGATCAATGTTAGACCACTATTGAAAACCTGACCGTTTTATCCTAGTATGGGAAGTGAGCAGCCACGAACCCAGGACCTTCGATCTCGCGCGCGAACACCGAACCCTTGAACCATTGAGCCGGCATCCAACGCCGTTAATCTTAATCTGGTGGAATCCCAGTTAGTTACGAATTCATAATCTTCGACAAGGTCTTGCACAGTAGTATGTCACTTTATTAACGATATTTCTATACCAAACTGAGACTTGACATATTGAAACACTAGCCAACAAAGCCTATGACGTTTTTGCAACAAAAAATAATTTCATGGATAAGTTTATTTCGCTCTATCTCCTTGTGAAACAGCTGTTTAAACGAACTAATGAAAAATGGATGTATATATTCGGTCACTTTTTCTCTGCAACACTGCCCAGATACTGTATACAAAAGAGTAAGCGCTACTAGAATCAAGCATATGGTCATAGATACAATTTAATTCAGTTTGTAAGCTTCGAGATATTCGCCGATTCTAGTTACTAAAACCTTCGTTGTACGCTTTCAATCAGTACTTGCCTTGATGTGACGTTGTAGTCATAACATACGCCCAAGGTCCAAAATGATAAATGGAACAACCTAAAAATCTAGCAACATCCTAAAATAATTAGTATATGTAACTTAAATAACACACTAAATACTTTGCTATTGTTAAAAAGCTTTAAAACGTTTAATTTACTCACTTGTAAAACTGTAGCAAACAACCCGTTATAAACATATTCCCAGGAACTTGAAATGACATGCGTCCAATGAGTATCATTTTTTCTCCTGTGTCTGGATGGAACGCTGAGTCGTACACATTTTTTGCTTGCCAAAGCTTTTCTACAGTTAAACCGGGTTGAATAATCCCTATCCTGTAATTATTTTATAGCAACACATGACCACATAGTACTCACCTATAATTATGAACGATGGTCCTTGCTTCTTCTAATTCAGTAGATGTTTTGAATGCGTTCAAAGGATTAGTTGTAATAAAAAAGTGTTTGGCTCTGCCAATGTATGTGGACTGATCATATCGAGGCTTTTCTATATCGACTGATTTACCGTGAACTAATTCGGATGGCTATGGCATTGTTAAAAACAAAAGGAAGTATGTTAAGCAGTAAAAACTGTGATAAACTTAACATTTATAAAAACTTGAGGGAACTGACATACAACCAATCATAAAAGTACGGTGTAGATATTTCATAGTAAAACAGTTGTCTGAAAGATTAGAAAGTGGATAAATGATATCTAATATGCTGAAGTTTGCTTTGGCCAATATGATAAAATGCCAAGTAGATTTGTTTCCACTGATATTTTGACGGTTAATTCTGTGAAATATTTCAAAGTAACGGTACACTGAGAATCGAGTATCACTAAGAGCTATTACTCAGAATAAAAGTCGTTTAATTCTGAAAACGATCAAGCGGAAATTAATGATTAGTGATAATTTATTCAAAATACAATGCTTAAAATGTCTTAGAAAGATAGAAGAAACAGGTTACGTGTGATAGTAGTTCCCATAGCCAAAAATTTTGAATAATGATTAAGAAAGTATAATGAACAAGAGCTCAACTACAACCCAGAGGCAGTATCCAATTTTAGTAGAAGTGGAAAGCCGACAAAAAAGAATTAACAGAAGCCAAAAGTTTTCATAACAAATTGCTGTTTTTAAACCTACCAATAGCTACTTCACCGAAGATATGTACATTAGCGAATAAAGGCACGGTTACTTGAAAAGGTTTTCAACTACGGATAAAATAAACTTATCACTATGAAGGGCACATCGGATAAGAATTAAAAGACGCCTGAAGGTACTTATCGACTGGCAATTACATTAAAAATGAGTGGTAGGAATTTTAAATGGCTTCTACAGACAGACGAAAAAGGTTTTGAAGCATTGAGCTGAATGTTTCTCGTCAGTCAGAGATGAGACAGTTAGGGTTAGCGCCGGGTGTCGTATAAATTAAGTCCACATGAGCTGCAATGATGACCGGAGTCTGCTAAATAGGGAATCATAGTTTAGTGTCTTAGTCAATCCACATACATTTGTTATAAACGGCAATAGCATCTTGATTAATATCACTTACAGATGTAAAAAACCCAATCTCAAAGGTCTAATCTAATTTCTAGAGTGTCTGTAACGATGAATCAATCCCCGAAACAAATGGTTCCGTAAGTCTTCGATATAGTTGACCTCACTTGTTTTGGTAACTACACTCTAGCTTGATTACCATGACACGTCGATCAGAATAACTACCAATTGCCCAAAAATGCTAACTACGTTGGCTACTACTGAACAAATCGCTCTGCATTTTAGACCTTGAGAACTATAAATCAAATGAAAATTAGAGTCTCGCCATACTTTTGATAAGGTCAGAAATATCTTACGGAGTGACGAATACTTCCCTAACTGTTCCTGTGTCCCTAGTCTTCTGCCTGATTCATCAGAAGCATTGTATGATGTTCGGTCACGTTAAAATAAACGGTTTATACAGAAAATGAACGAAATGCATAGACTTACATCAGGTATCATTATGATGCGAAAACAAGTCAGAAAATGTAGACGTTTTGAAAAAAGCACTACCCGGTTCACCTTGAAGAAGTAGCAAACATAAACTTATTTGACAATTAGTTTTTGTTATTATTCGCTTCTCTTCTTAATTTCGCATATTTTGTGTAAATACCATTATTGGCTGTAAATGTTTTGTTTAAAAATACTCGACGCGCTAGTTTCAAAAAGGGCAGTGATTTTTGTACTTGTTGTGATTATACTTGCTTTGGGTACTTATTGGACTAAAAAGCATTCTTGGTCTACTTTAACTAAAAGTACTTTGGTTAAAGTTTGAAATTTTTTGCTAAATTTTGTCCTGAGTACCATTTTTTACTCCTTGACTAACACCTGTGTTCACTTTGCGATCATTTTGTGTTTTTAAACCTTTTGAATCTAATTACAATGGTTGGTAAGACTCACAAATGTGGGCAACCAAATCGTTTGTTCTCCGTTGAGGAGGGAATGCAGTGTGACGATTGTAAGAAGTGGTACCGCAAAATGTGTACACGCCTAAGTCCGATGGCATACAAAAGATGCTCGAAGCCTAACTCGCATTGGCTTTGTATGTTCTGCTGTACGGAGAAAAAGGTACTAATACAGGAGGCTATGGACCTATTGGCTTTAGCCTGCAAGAAAAACGATGGCGGAAACACTGATAACAGCAGTACTGACGATGAAGAATGTATCAGTGTAGTAAGTGCTGCTACTGGACCCGTTAAACACCTGACTGCGGTTGACGGGAACGTGAAATCTCCGTTGACATTAACGAGGAATGAAGTGTCGCTTGATACTGACATTGGCGGTCACACACCTCTAGTCGAAATAGAAGATCCGGATAAAACTGTCTCTGTTCCATATAGTCCAGGTGTGGATGTTCTGAGTGGGGACAAACGGACTTCGGTAGGAAGAAGAAAAAGGCTGTGGGCAAAACGCAGCTCGCCAGCAAGGCATTGGAAGGGATGTTATCAAATGAAAATTCCTCACTGCGTGACAAGCAGATCTCCCTGATAGATCAGTCATTTTTCATAAGATAAGAGGATCTTCAGATACAGAACCAAAGGCAAGATTTGAACATGATCTCAATCATATTAAGACATCATTAAGTAAACCACTCCCAGATATAGTTTCAGGAGTCAGTATTTGTAAGCTTTATAGAATAGGAAAAAAGGTGGATTCCGAAAGTCCTCAGAAAAATCGTCTCCTAAAGGTTATATTCAACACGGTGGATGAAAAGAACCTGATTCTAAATAATTCACGTAAACCCATTGGATCTGGAATATATGTCAATGAGGATCTCAACCTACTGATCGTATTAAGAGATGAGCTGCAGAAGCGGAAATAAACGAGCGTCGCCGAAACGGTGAAAGAAAGCTCGCTCTTATGGGTTTTCAAATTGTAAAAGTTCGGAGCAAAACTATCCTCAAGCCACTCTGGGTGGCAAGGGAAAGCTCTCCACAGACTTAAAGGTATGCTACACAAATGCTCGCAGACTACTAAATAAAATGGCGGAGCTCAAGTCAGTGGTGGATAAAGAAAAACCGGACGTTATTGCTGTCTCGGAAACTTGGTTAACGTCAGAAGTTTTAGATAGTGAAATCCAGCTGACTGGTTCTTTAACCAGTAGGGCTGATAGATTAAACCGAAGGGGAGGCGGGGTTATTGTGTACACGAAAAGTACCCCAACCATAAGATTAGCTGAGACAGTAGCACATGTTTCAGGGACATGTGAACTGGTGAGATGTAAGTTGAAATGCCGAAGGCAAGACATTGAATTAGTTGTAGTATATCGCAGTCCAGAATGTGTAGCAGATGATGTTCTCCTCAGTAAACTTAAGTCCTGGTGTAACAACGGTAAAAGCCTTGTAGTAGGCGACTTTAATGCACCATATATAAACTGGGTTAACTTAGAAGTAGAGTCGTCTATATCGTCGTCCGACAGCAAACTGTTAGAAACCTCGATTGGACTAGCATTATTCCAACACATTAGAGGTCCCACAAGATACGACTTAAGAAACTCTTCTTCTCTTTTAGGTTTAGTCTTCACACACGGTGATGACGTTGGTCAAATGGCTTATCTCCCACCACTTGGGAGAAGTGACCATGCAGTCATCTTATTCAAATTCATTCAGGAATGGTTGAATACCAGGTTACATCTACAAAACGCAAATTTACAAATCAAGTACAATTAAGCAAAGTGTTTTTTTGTTACCTCCTCTTTAGACTCACTGAGTTATACATTAGTCAATATGGCGATACAATAAACAGTATATTAGAAGATATTGGTGAAGATTATAACTGAATTATTCAATGTTATAAATCCTCAAAAATAGTGATGTTCATGTCTATTGCCTTGAATGCTGAAATCATGTGTCCATTGTTGTATTTGAAGTTTAAACATTAAAGAGTAAGTCAAGTAAGCAGTGGAGATCTTTGGTCCATAAAATGCGCGTAATCAATAAACGTGATGATACAGATCAAAATATATCGTGATTATTGTGGCAAGAATAATAATAACAATCATTAGAATGATAAGTGTTAAATAAGCGCTCATCGGAGGTAGACTGGGATAACGCTAAAATTTGATTATGTTACACGACGAATTACCACCTTCTCTGACGTTGAATGACACTTTGACACTATCAAGATATGTTCTGCGTGTCGTACGATAATATATAACGAAACACAATAGATAATTTTGCAAAATACAGATTTACTCGCGTCATAAACGTTTTAGGATAGCCAAACAGTTCGACATTCGGAATTTGTTTCGACATCCAACATACAAGTGTGAATTTTCGTTCCCGTAACTCACAAAAAAGCATCCAAACGTATGTAAACACAGTCAAGTCCAAGTGAAAATATCCACCACAGCGCAAACACATAACATATGGAAGGCAGATATGCAGGCAATTAACTCCGCAGCATCGGCTGAGAACTGGGAAATTGACTCAAAGACATCAGTACAAGAGGCATGAACTCTAATCAGGCAGTTATACAATCGGGTAACTCAACCATACATACCCTGGACTGTCCCAAAGAAAAAGAAGCAAGGACATCCCTGGATAGGGCGGGATATTCGACGCTTACTAAGACAAAAGAAGAAATGCTGGGATGTCGCCATCCGCCTTGGCACAGCAGGTACGATGGAACACTACAGATCGATAAGAAACGAGTGTATAACAAAAATTCGGGAAGCTCAAAGAAAATATGAAATGCAGCTGGCACAACCTCCACTCAAGCAGCCCAACGTAATATTCTCGTACATAAACTACAGAACAAGGATGCATCATTGGATTCCCAACTTAATTAAAGTAGGAATGGGATCTGAAATGATAGAGGAAGATCAAGAAAAAGCAGAGGCTGTGGCTGAATATTTTGAGGCAGTTTTCACTCAGGAACCTTCCCTAGAGAAAGAACCAGACCCAAATACAGAGTCAACAAACCACCTGCTCACCGTCGGCTTCGACCAAAACGATGTGCTTGAGGCTCTTAGCACCCTAAACATGGTGAAGTCAACAGGTCCAGATGAACTCCACCCCAAAATCTTGAGACATATTTCCCAATATATCGCGTCCCCACTGACTGTGATATTCAAAATGTCACTTGATCAAGGTGTGTTACCTATGGACTGGAAGGACGCAGTCGTCACTCCCATACATAAAACAGGTCCACGACAAGTTCCATCGAATTACAGACCCGTAAGCCTCACCAGTGTTGTAATTAAAATACTGGAAAGAATAATCAAACAGACCATAACGGCATTTATGGAAACCAATAACTTGCTGAACATGGAACAACATGGTTTTAGAAAGGGTCTATCCTGTACAACGAACATACTTATAGCTAGGGAGTTCTGGATTAATGCGCTAGACAACGGAAACTCAGTGGATGTTGTCTACATAGACGTCAGTAAAGCTTTTGACAAGGTGCCAACTGATAGACTGCTATTGAAGTTGGAAAACCTTGGTTTTTCCGGACCTCTTTTAAAATGGATTAAAGATTTCCTAGTAGGTCGTAGGCAAAAAGTAAGAATAAATTCCAAGTGCTCCATCTGGAGACCAGTACTTAGTGGAGTACCCCAAGGTTCCATCCTAGGTCCTTTACTTTTTATAATGTACGTTAATGATCTTACAAGTATAGTACAGTCTCCAATGTTATTATGCGCTGACGATGTAAAAATTTGGCGAGTAGTAACTGGAGACAAAGACGCATTTACTCTTCAGGCAGACTTAAATAATATGATAAACTGGTCTAAAGAGTGGCTGATGCCTATAAACTCGGAAAAGTGTGTCTACATGCACTTGGGGGGATTCAAAGGTTAATACGTACAACATAGGGGATGTGTCATTACCCGTAGTCCGGTCTCATAAGGACCTAGGGATGACAGTGAGTAATGATCTTAAGACGACGGCCCATTGCCGGGAGGTCGCAGTTAAGGGGTTTCGAACCCTCTGGGCTTTAAAAAGGACATTCACTAAGTTAGATAATACCATGTTCACCACATTATACACATTATATAGTGAGGACTAAGCTAGAGAACGGCGTTCAGGCTGCAAGCCCCTGCTTAAAAGGTGACTCGGACATACTAGAAAAAGTACAGAGGGCAGCTATCAGTGAAATTCCGGAACTCCGAGGTTTATCATATAAAGAGCGGCTGGAAAAAGTGAACCTCTTTACTCTGTCCCATCGCAGACTAAGGGAAGATCTAATTTTGATGTACAGAATACTGAGAAGTGATTTCGGACCTAACTTATTCTCTCTCTTTCTTCCCACTAGATCGGAGCACCTCAGAGGACATAGCAGGCGACTAGAAAAGCCAAGAACAAGCAAAATACCCGTGGCATACAGGATTTCACACCGCGTCATCAATACTTGGAACGTGCTGCCTGAAGCAGTGGTGTCCGCACCTTCGATTGACTCTTTCAAGAGAAGACTGGACACTCACAGAAGCATACTAGAAAAGGAATAACATAGGCTGTAGGCCTTCCGTCCTTACTACACAAATCTGAATATGAATCTGGCCTTGTCTTCCGTTTTGTACTT